TGGGCAGCAAAGCAGTTTCACTGCTGGCACCAGTTGCAAGCCACTGGGGACGTATTGTGTTAGAAAGGGCACAATCAAGCAAGAACAGTTTCTGCTTTCTTGCCACATAGTATTTCAAAGGAACTTGGAGAAGAGTCTCCCCATATAATCTTAAATCATGGGTAAGCTGTGATAGCAAGAGGCAGCCCTGCAGCTATTTTGGCAGCAAGCCATTAAGACCTTCACAGGGAAGCACCAGCCTCTTGAATTGGGCTCAGAAGCAAATATGCAACCAGACCAGCTCCTTCAGAATCCATGCAATCTGATTCAGCCTGGCTGTAGCGGGTACAATTTTCTCCTAGCCTCCACATTTTGCAGCAGCAGAAATTTCCAGGTCATCTGCAAAAGTAGCTGCATGTAAAACACATGATAATAACTCAGTTACCTGATATCCAAGTAATACGTTTAAAGTGCAGTGCTATGCATATTTAGTCCAAAGTAAGTTCTGAGGAGCTTTCCTCCCCAGGAAGAACGCTTAGCGATGCATAGCTTTATTATTAGAGCACCAGTCTTAGTTAAATACTAGGTGATCTCCCCTGCCCTTCCAATATTAGAATCAGTGAGTGCCATTTGGAGTTGCAGTACAGTATACCTGGCCAAGATATAGTTAGCTATTTTCTTACTAATGCTTGCACAGTGCTGGTAAGAAGAATCCTTGCTCAAGTTAATACCCAAACAACAGACTGACAGTGTGAAGCTGAATGTGATGTTTGCCTGCCCATATCACGTGCAGGCATGTGCCCACAAACCAAAACACAGCTGGCAGGTCTAATTTTAGTCCTACCCAGCCTTGAGAAGTGCCCCCTTAAAAAAGAAGAAGTGATTCCCCCCACCCCCCAACAATCTGCTTGATAATATAGCAGCTGACAACAGTCCCACTGGAGTATGACATGTGATTTAAATAAAAACAAAAGAAACCATGGCAGTATGCTTCTCTCTACGCACACACAAAATCCACTGTCAGCAAAGGCAAAGATAGATCCATGAATGGAGTGACACACAGGAAAAGAGTCTATATATTCATAGATTGTATGCAGACAATAGCTTTTGTAATGAATCTGAGATGTGGTATTGGGAAACTGTCACTGCCCATAGTACATAATTTATTTGTTTTGTGCTAGCCTGTGTTTTGTAGATTTTGTAGCTACAGTATGTATGCATTATTATATTAGGTTGTGGGGATGACTATTCAGGACATGTTCTGGATAAGTTAAGTTCTTCTCTTTCCTGTTCTCCCACTCTGCATCCGACAAAGTTAGGGGCCCACCCCACAACTGCCTTCTCGCATGCCATCATTTCAGTGTGACTCACACCCTACCACACACATGTATGGGGCACAGGTTGAGAGAAGAATGGGGCAGGGACACCAGAAAAGCGGGGGGGGGGGCACCAGAAAAGAAGCCTGTTGGTTGGTGGCTCCCCATCCTTGATTTAATCTTCCTTTAAAATGAAAATCATAGATGCAATGATGAGTTAATGTTTTCCTGATTGGTCGTGTAGTGTTTTAAAAGATAAGGAATCATGCAATTTTTCCCTTAAGATTTAGGGCTTTTTCACATGAGGCATTTATTGTGCATTTGTGGTTCTTTGATCATGGTAATTTGTGACAGCTTTTCCTATGAAGTTATCAACCTCCAGGACCTCTCCTGTGCTTTCCAAACATTTCACCACTGTTTTTTAAAATGATGCTAGGGAAAGTCAGAAGAAGCAAGGACCAACTATGAGATGGACTGATGCCATAAAGGAAGACATAGCCTTATGTGTAGAAGAGTTGAGCAGGTCTGTCAAGAATGGGACATTGTGGAAGGCATTCATTCATAGGGTTGGCATAAGTCAGAGCTGATTTGACAGCATGTAACAACACAACACAACACAACACCACGAGCTGTTATTTAGCTATCACACTACGTAAAATGAGCTAAAACAAGCCTGTTCATTCTCACAATTGCACTGTATCTCAGCACCAGCTTCTGGTTGTGTAACAATGTATAAGGGGACATAAAAAGATGCCTCCACCCTTGAAAATAAATACACAGAAAAGATCCATTTTTACATCTGCAAAGAAAATGGAAGAAGCAGCCCCGGTAAATCATGGGACAAATGCCTCATGTAGAGAGGTCCTGAAAATAAGCAGACCCAAGTTGCTTGACTCTAAGCTTCTTCACTCAGCGCATAGTTAAACTGAAAGATTTGCTACCATAACGTGTGGTAAAAGGGGATTAGGTGAACTCATGGAAGATGAGGCTATCCATGTCTACTGGCAGGGATGTACCAATTTCATTTAATCCATTCTGTCTGTGTTTTGCAGATTTTTAGGCTTTCCTCCCCAACCCCATCATCTGTTGCTTGACAGAATCACATTTTCCCCTTTGAAAAAATATGCAAAAAAGTGCCATTTATATAACTTGCTAGAACATATTTTGTGTATTTTTCTTAACTCAATATACAATGAATGTACAGAGTTCACACGCACACACACGGACACACACGAGTGCCACAAATGAAAGCTGAAAGAAATCAGAGATGTACAAAAACTTGTGTGGGTTTTGTTTTAAAAATGGAGTTTATATTAACATATTTTCCAGTAACTATCATAGCTTTGTATGACTAAATTTGTGTACAGTTTTGGAACATAAAAAACAAGCTGCAAGTCCACAAAATCCATGTGATGTGCAGAATTCCAGTCTGACATGCAATCTGCAGGTCAGATTTGTAGAAATACAGAGTCATTTGAATCTGTTTCAGCTTTTTCTGACATCCCTAGCTACTGGTAATGATAGGTATAGACTACATTAAGATCAAGGGTGTCATACTTGTGAATAGCAGTTGCTGGAGAATAATAGCAGGAAAAGGCTGTTTGCCCTCAGGTCGTACTGGTGGGCTTCCCAGAAACATTTAGTTGCCAGTCAAAAGAGCACCTACAGATACAGGACACTCCACTTCAGACAGTCACCATCTCTGAGTTGTGTGTGTCAAGCATGGCAACAAAGACAGCAGATTGGAACACTTCCCCTTCTCATGTCTGGTTTATACAGGGCAAATATGGCTTCTTAGCTTATCCCAAGCCATATTCTGTACCCTGGAGGTTCCCAGTCTTTGTCAGGTTGGTGTTCCTCTAGAAGTTTTGGACTATACGTCCCATTATTCCTGATTATTGACCATGCTGCCTGGGGCTGATGGCAGTTGTAGTCAAAAATAGATGGGGGCACCAGATTGGGGAAGGAATCCCCAAAGTATGACAGCAGAGCAGTGGTAGTTAACCTAGTGCCCTGCTAATGTATTTACTGCGACTGCCATCAGCCCCATCCAATATGCCCATTGGTCAGGGATTACAGGAGTTGTACTCCAAAACACTGAGGACACCAAATTGCTTCCCTTAGTACTAGAGTATGATGGAATCCTGATAACTAGCTCCAATAAATGGAGAAGCATGAAGACGAAATCCAGCTCATAACTGTCACATCTTCCTCGTGGTTGTTCAGAAGTCAGTCCCAGCAATTTCTGTGGCATTTGCTTCCTTGAGACTATGCTTAGAAATGCATCCTAATACTTCTGTCCAGGGTTACAACATGCCATGCAACAGAAAAAGATCCTTATTTCCATGGTTTACAGCTTGGGAACAGTCTTGAAGCTGTTCAATTGGAAGCAAGTGTCATTGAAGTCTCAAGGTTACAAGGCAGTCTTCAGAAGTAAACCTCACTGCATTTAAGGGGCACTGGTCCTAAGCAAGTGGCACAGGATTGCTGCCTAAGCTATTTAGGCATGATGAGAAAGGAACTTCAAAGCATGCATTCCTGCAAAGAGCTTGCACAAGAGGGTAAGTCCTGGAGCTTCCCTCAGCAGAACAAGCCAGAAGTCCCTCAAGCACTGCAGGGCAGACATACAATATTTTGGAGTTTGTGCATCACAATGCACATGGCATCTAAAGAATCCTTTCCTGGACAAGTCCATTAAGTCCTGGGTCTAACATTACCTAAATGCAACACTGTTCCTCACTGTGTTAATGGGGGCAGAATAGTGTCTGTTCTTGGCCTGTGGCAGTGATTCAAGGAGAAAGTCTCTTGCCCAAGCCCCACATCGGTGGGAGCAGTAGTACGTCATAGGCTCCAAAAGTCTCCTGCTCAGCTCATACGAATTCACTGTAAATCTGGAATAGCCCACTGAAGACAATGGGGCTTATTGCTGAGCCAATGTGCATAGGTTCGGTTGCAATGGCCAGGCGAGCAACGGGAACCTACCTGGTCAAGCAGTTATCCATGAGATCTCTGGTTAAACAAGGCTTCATTGTGTAGCAACACTTCACAGCACGGGGGTATTTAATGTCTGTTTGCATTATTGTGAGAAGCATGTGAATAGCGTTCTCTCTCTCTCCTATTCAGGAATCATTTTTATAGCATTGTAGTAGCGCGCCTGTTTGGATGCCTGCGGTAAAAACCCGCTTTGCTTTCGTATCTTTGGCGGCCTTTCTTGCTCGACTTTCTCGATCTTGTGATTTTTGTTTTCAAAAACGAACACAAAATAAATAAATAAATAAATAAAGAGACAGGCAGGGTCGTCTCCCTGACCCTCATTACTTGACTGACTGCGAGGTACTGCTGCTATTTGTGAAGGATCCTCTTTAGGGGAACTCTCGCTAGTTTTCCAATAAACGTTATGAGATATTACAGTGCCGAAGGGGCGCGCGCGCGCCCGCGCGGGGCGGGGGGGAGATATTATTAAAGAGACAGACCGCTCTCTCCTTCCCCGGCTTCGTCCAACACGAGCCACCGTAGCTTGTGCCGCCGCTGGTTTTGGAGGGTAACTTTGGGAAGAGTCTGCAAAGAGGGGGAAGGCTGAGCGATGGAATCGTCAACTCCCCCCTTCGCCGCTGCCCGCCCGCCCCGCGCCTGCTTCAGCGGCGGCAGCAGCAGCAGCAACGTAAGCCAGCTCCGCTTTCCGCGATAGCCAGCAGAGGGAAGCGGGGCTTTGCTTGCAACAGGGGCTGGAGCCAGCCGAGTTCTTTTCCTTCTTCTTGGAGGAAATACTGCAGCCTTCTGGACTGCGTCTGCTTCTCGAGGGAGAGGCCGACCGTGTAGTTCCACCCACCGGCTGGAAGGAAGGGGTTTGAATGAAAGACAAGACAAGCCCTGAGCACCATGCCACTCCGTAAGGGAGGCAGCGGCAAGTAGGTTCTTGCAAGCCAAGACGCTTTTTTCCCCCTTTTTCCTCCCCCTCCCGCCTCTCCTCCACTTCTTCCTCCTCCTCCTCTCCTTGAAAAATCTTTTTTTCCCTTTTTTGGGGGGGGGTGAGGGGTGAAGGGGAGAGGACTCGCGAGAAAGAGAGGAAGCCGATCTACGGACATCTGGAGTTACCCCGTCTTCCCGATTTCTCCAGCAGGACTCCCCCCGCACACCGCCGCACACCCCTTTCACCGACACTGTCAATTGACATTACTTACAACCAAGAGGAGGACGGTCCCCTTGGGGAGGAGGGCGGAAAAAAGCCGAGCAAGAGCGTTCCCTCTCCGTCGATGTGTTGCCTTTTTTAATGTAATTTTATTTTTATTTTTTATTTTGCTCCTTGCTGTGTCTGGAACTAGCGAGCAGTCGGAAGGCAAGGAAGTCTGGAAAAAAATAAAATAAAAACCCAAACCCAAACGCTCACCAGTAACCAGTACTGTCAGGAATAGTGGTTTAAGAGGAAGAAAGGCCTGGGGCACTACACCCTGTCAACGACTTCCTTGCATCGGAGATAAAGATTCCAGCTACATGGGCAAACGCTTGGAACAGCAACCAATGTACCCTCAGTACACTTACTACTACCCTCATTATCTCCAAACCAAGGTATGTGATGTGTACTGCAAACAGGACTTCCTGGGGCTGGCCAGCGGTGTCAATATGATACCATTAGGCACTTAGGGGATGATGGATAGTTGACTGGCGTAAATTGCAGGCGTGCTCCCCCCCCCCCCCAATGCTGTATCATGAAGGCGTAGAACTAATAGCCAACAAAAAGCATCCAAGGGGGGGAGAATGGGCAAGGTCAGAATGAATTTATTGGTCTGTGCTGTGTTTTCCAAGCCAAAAGGGACTGTTCGATTGCGCCGAGCCTCTTTCCATGCTCTTGGGGGAACTTGAGGGGGTGCAGATATGTGTGCTCCTTGGGTTAAAATGAAACCGCGGTGCCCAGGTAGCAGCCTCATTGTGTTACAGGACGGCGATCCGTCTGGACAGTGTCAGCCATGCGACTGGCGGCTTAGGGGACTCGGGAGGTGAGCCGGGCTGTGCACTTGGGAAGTAAAAGCATTTTGCCATTACAAGAGGTGTTGTGGGCACTCTTAACTTTAATTTGACACATATGTGAAAGCTGCCAGGGTCAGGGGAGGGCAAAGAGATGACCTAATAAAATCCTTGGGAGTTTTGTACTTGCATGTCAAGGTGGTTTTTAATGTTTCATTAAATATTAACAATGGGATGATCATACACGGTTGCATCTAAAAGGTTTGGAGCTAAGTGTGCTCTACTTTTTGGTGTGTGGAGAAGGGCAGTTAGGGTGCACCCTCTAGGCTCTCTGCTTTGCCTTATTTTGTGTTTGTGTGTGTTTAAATGGCAAGACAGGCCTTTATCGGCTAGTAAGACTGAAGTGCAGTGCACCACGCAATGAATTAAATAGTGCCTTGTAAGTATTTTTTTCTAATGCTATGGCATGGTTCTTTTCTTTTTGGCATCCTGTATTGCTGATCAACTTTACAAAATTCAGCTCTATTGTCCCATCCTTCTCACAAATCATTGTTAAAGCATCTTTCCAAAATACATCATTCTGAAGTTTGGTCTCAGATTTGTGGATTCATGTATCTGGGTGTTTTTAGGGGGAAAACAAACTCTGCTGTGTTGGACCAGTCAAAACACATGGAATGTGATGTCTGATGGGGGTGAGAACTGAATGATAGGTACATTTGTTTGTTTATTTATTTAATTTCAGTATTGCCCATTAGTCAAGATGACTCTTGACTAGTTATGGGTGTGGTGTGATTGTCACAGCTTTCTGCAGCTGAGTCCACTTCCTTCACTTCAGAAATTACTTTTCAGTTTGTGTTTATCATCCAGCCTCTCATAGTGGATGTGAATTGGTTGTGAAAAATGATAATGTAAGTTAGTTGACACCTAAGGGGACGCCCAGATTTCTTTGGGTGCTGATACCTTTTCCATTTATATTCTAGGTGCTGCTGATTTGTTTGGTATACTGCATTGTGCCAGATTTCTTTGTGCTACATCAAACCCTTTAAGCTTTTTGAACAATTATTTTCACATTTTTTCCCCCCCGCTCAAGGTCGATTCAAATCGCATTTTACCTCTGTGGCCATTTAGTATATATTGCTGCTGCTTCTTCAGCAGCCGCCTGTAGCTAGCTGGACTGCTACATTGCTTTATAGCTTTAACTGTTTGGAGGAATGGGGATGAGACACATGGCATTCCTCAAAACCTGGCAAGCCAAGGACATGAAGCAATTTATGTGCCTTTTTCTTTTTGAAAGAACAATAGCCTCAAGTACTTGATGAGACACACTGGACATTCCATGCCTTTTACTCATGTAGTTTAAACGATGCCAGTCTTGCTGTTTTGGAACTCCTCATTTCTACTTTGGAAAATACACTTTTGGGAAAACCTAACCTTGTGAAAGAGCCAAAAAATGATAACAGTCTTTTGTATGGGGATGTTTTAAATCTTTCTGTTAATTAATATAGTTAATATATAACATTTTAAAAATATGATGAAGTTGCCATTTTAACAGATGGAGAGGATTTATTTGTCAACATGCATTAACAATACAAACAGAACCTTTTTTAAAGAACTGGTAATTCCATACATGTAATGTTATTTTTATAGGGTGACCTTTTCCCCTTTTTATCTGTAGGTGTATTAGACAGGTACATGCATACATAAATATAGACACTGTAATAAACTGTTAAAGCCTAATGCAGAAATCTATGCACAGGGCATTGAGTTCTGCTTTAGTTCACATATGTTAGTGCTTTTTTTCTCACATACACATGTTTGGACAGAAAAGGTTCTTCATGTCTTGTAGAGTACATTGGTAATCAAATTAAGACCCATACATTTCTATACGACATTGGAAAGGAGTTTAACGCAGCACAGAAAGGCGGCATCTGACTTTGTTACTTTAAGCTAACCATCAGCTTTTGAGACTTAAAAAAACTTAGTAACACCATTTCGGGCAAGGTAATATTTTTGTGACAAAATAATAGTAAAAGCAATCCCCCCCTCTCTCTATACTATATTATCTAACGATTTCAGCTGTAGCAGAAAGATCGCAATTAATATCAGGGAACTCAAGAAAATGGTATAACTTAATGTGCACCAATATGAACTCTCATTTGGAAATCAATACATAGTTTAGTGGCTATACGGCTATTAGAAATGACGTAGAGTTATTACAGGTGTTAATATGAAACACATAAATCATTCATAATACAATATATATGTATGTTTTTCTTTGGAGTTTTCTTTTGTCTACAGAATTTTAATACAGGTTAGGCATGTTGTCTTAAAAATATGTCTATATGGCACCCTGATGGTATTTTGACTTCAGGATATGTTACTGAATTAATGCCCTTCCTACATATTTACACCATAGTTGGGGAAAATGAATGGTCACCTATTAGATGTCCTAGATCTTCTGTAGAATATGAAATGCATGTGGTTTGGTCTGATTACTTGCAATATAAGGCTTTATTTTAGAAATATTAAATATACATGTTAGTTTCAGGGAAGTACAATCTAATCTAAAGATCACATTTTTGAAAACATGAGTCTGTTTTTTATATATTAATGAGAAGCTAATGAAAATGTCATTCTGGTGTGAGACTGTCTGACTATACCAGTTTAGATGGAGTTATATTCTCATCAAGTCTTCATAACAGGACTAGTTATTCCAGGCAGGTCATGGATCTTTGTCCAGCCAAAACACATTTTGTTGCCATTGTAAAATAGAATATATGGCCTTAGACTGCAAAGCCCTATTTGAATAGAGATGTACGCAAGCTGTGCAGAAAGAGGATGATATACTGGATGCTTTGAACTCTCACACAAAATATAAATTTTGTAATTGTTGTTTTTGTGATATTCACATAAGTGATAAAATTAAGAAATGGTATTGCTGTGCTGTTCAACTGTAGCATTAATCATTGCTAAAAATGTTAAGAAAAATATGCCCCTTTTGTTAAGTGACTGTAGACAAACCCAAAGGATTTGACATTTAGGTATTGATATGATTCTCTCAAAGCTAGCTATTGGAGATGAATCTTACCCTTTTTCATTCATTCATTTGTTTTACCTGGGAGTAACTTTTTTCATCAGTGTGTCAAATCAATGGTGATGTTTGAACTAATAGTTATCTATGAATTGATATTGGATTAAGGAATTGGAGTGGAACTGTTCAAATTGATGCTGCGTATATCAATATATTTTTCTCATATTTATGAATATATCAGCTATGATGTGTTTTCAGTTCTAGCTTACTGTTTGCATTTATCATAATTTGAACGCTGTTATGTGTCACATGGTGTTTTGTTATGTTTCTGGTTGGTCAACTTAAGCTTTAGGGAAAAAAGATACAGACTCTATAAATAGTGAATCAAATGTTTGGGTTGAAATAAGTCTTGTTATGGGAATTCCAGGATGGAAGGGACAGTATTTGCCCCAAATGCTTGTTGCTGAAGATATTAAATAATTGAAGCAACACATTTCAGAACAGAATAAGTATTTAATCAAAAAGGAAAGCTGGAGAATTGTGTCTCAGTGTTGACATTTTTTAAACCTATGTGCTTATTCATTTACTATCCAGAGTAGATGTGCCTTATTATGAGGAACAGAACTAGAAATGTATGTAGGTTATAAGAGATTTTAAAGGGTCTCTTTAAAAAACTTTTCTGAAAACTATGCTACCTTTTTCATTTTTAAAAGATTATATAAATTGATGAGCGCGCTCTCTCTCTCTCTCTGTCTCGCTCTCTCTCTCTCTCTGTGTGTGTGTCTATGGGGAGATCTTTGCCTTTTTCACATCTTTAAAACATCTTTCACATTTAAAAAAAGGATTAAGGTTCAATCCTATCCCTATTTGTTCTGAAAAAAGTCACACAACTTTAGCTGGAAAATGCTGGGAATGGTGTGACTTTTTCAGTATAAATCTGCATAGAATTGTGCCCTAAACCACCTAAGCCATTCCTCTTTGACTTCTTCCATCCCTCAGTTTACTGCCATTCTCTTGCGTCTGGCTATCTGGCTTTCAAATGCCTTGACAAGAAAGTTCCAGGACCAGGCTTTTCTAACTGCTAGTGTTCTGCTTGTGTTTTGAGCCTGGTGTGAAGCAAGGGTCAAGTATAAGGAGTATTTCATCAACCGCACACTGATTTCAGGCTGCATTTCAAGCCATCTGCAGCTTGGATTGTTGCCAGGGCTCAGAAGTCTTGCTTGAGCTTATAGTGCCAAAGTAGAAGCAAATATGTGCAAATAGAGAGAAATGCATTTCTGGGAATGAAGTTGGTATGCACTTAACTCCTTGTTTGGGTTGATAAATGGCGGTATTCTCCCTCCCTCTTTAAGCTGCTGCAGCGGGATCCTTTTCTTAAAACACATGGATAATAATGGATTGACCTTTGATTGTAGTAAAGTATTTGGATTAATATTCACCCTTGGCATGATGTCAGTTATTTTGATACAGAATATGAAAGCCTGAACTAGGTTTCCCTTAGAAACTGAGAAACATGAATGTGTACTTGCTGAGTTATATAGGTTTTGTTGAAAAATGTTTGTGTTCATATTGG